GCCGGGGTCTCAGAGCCACCCTCCCCAGGAGTGGGAGATCCTGGCCCGAATCCAGCAGCTTCAGCGGCGCTGTCGGAGCTACAGCCTGTGCCCCCGCCCACCCGTCCTGGCCGCCCTGCGAGCCCAGCACCAGCTCAGCGAGGAACAGAGGTGACCCCCTCCCCCCAGGCCGGGCTGCACCCCACCCCAGCTGACCCTAGACCACACAACAGAGCCACACCGAGCTCCTGCCAGGGTCCCCTCTCTTGCACCCGCACCCCCAAACCTGACCTTAGATTATGTAGTCCAGGCAGGCCTCCAACTCCTGGCCATCCTCCTGCCTCAGCCTCCTCGGGCTGGGATTACAGGTGCGCACCACCACGCCTGGCTCCTCTCTGCCATTCTGACCTCAGCCTGTGACCTTCGACTCCACCCTCCCCAGCCTGTCTGCCCAGTGACCACCTTTGTGACCTCCGTCATCTAAATCCATTTCTGCCTCTCACTTTTTATTTTTTTGGTGCTGGGATGGAACCCAGGGCCTTCAAACGGAGCTGCTTCCCCAGCTTTTTTTATTTATGATGTTTTCTTAAATTTTGAGGCGGGGTCTCACTAAGTTGCCTAGGCTGGGCTCGAACTTGCCAAAGTGCGGGGTGGACCTGCGTGTCACCACGCCCTTCCAGGCCTTGAACTTGACTCTCGCCCTGTTGGACTCCTTAGTGAACTCCCCGTAGCTCCTCACGCGACTTGGGAGCCCCCATACCCACTCAGCCCCTGTAAGCCCGTTGCCACCTCCACGGTGGCGTTGGGGACCTGATTCCTGACTGATCTCCCACCACTCTTCTCCTCCCTCGGATCTCTCAGCTACCGACTCTCCCGCGTCATCGAGCCCCCGGCAGCCTCCTGCCCCAGCTCCCCCCGCATCCGGCGCCGTATCAGCCTCACCAAGCGGCTCAGTGCGTGAGTGTCGGGGTGCGGGGGTGGCGTGGGGGCGCCGCTCCTGGGCTCCTCTGACCCCGGCCCCCCGTCCTCAGGAAGCTGTCCCGGGAGAAGAGCGCGCCCCCTGGTGGGAGTCCCGGGGACCCTTCGTCGCCCACCTCCAGGTGAGCGTCCCTCCTGGGGCTGGGCCTGGAGAGAGCAGGGCCCATGGGGCAGCCGGCCCACGTTGCCTCTGCGTCTCCCCAGTCTGTCCCCGGGGTCCCCCCCATCCAGTCCCGGAGCCAAGGACCCTCCTGTCGCCGGAAGTCCCCCCGACTCTCCAGGGCTCCAGGGCCCCTGCACCGAGGTATCCAGGCTGCTCGGGTTTAACCCCAGAACTCTGTGCGTGTGCACACACGTGTGTGTAACTGTGAGTGTGTGTGAATGTACACACAGGATGGCAGGGTCACTAACATTTTTTAAACTTTATTTAGTGGTATGGGGACCAAACCTAGACCCTCTGTTCTGAGTGCCATCCCCAGCTTCTTTCTAACAATTTTTATTTTGAAACAAAGTCTCATTAAGTCACTAAGGCTAAGCTCAAACTTGTGATCTTCCTGCCTCGGCCTCCCAGAGTGCTGGGCTGACAGGTGTGCGCCACCATGCCTGGTACAATCACTCACTTTTGCAAGAACACTCATGTCCCTAGGAATCTGCCCGCTGAAGAGGAGATGTGAGCCTGACCCACCCACAAGACAGTGTGTGGGGTTTTTGCCCACACTGACTGTGAGTGTAGAAACCATGAGCTGTGTACAGGCTGCATTCTCTTGTGCTAAATGTGGGTCTGTATGTATAGATGGTCCAGGTGTGTGTTTGTCTCTGTCACCCCAACTGAGGTATCTGTGTGATCAGAAGGTATAGATGGGGATCTCAGGGTGCCCCTGAACTGCATGTGCTGGGCTCTGGGTGTTGGGGGGGTGTGGCTTTGTGTTCACAGGATTGCAGACACCCGTGTGGATAACCCAGGTAATTTGGGTGCAGTGGTACACGCCGCTAATCCTATCACTCTGGGAGGCTGAGGCAGGAGGGTTGCAAATTCCAGCCCAGCCTGATCAACTTAGTGGCTGAGACCCTGTCTCAAAGTACAAAATAAGAAGGTCTGGGGTGTATCTCCATGCAGAGACCCTGGGTTCCGTCCCAAGCAGCACTGCAAATAAAATATGGGAGGTGGGGCCTTTGGTCCCCATTCCTCAGTACCTGTGGCCTGCACCTCCACCGCCTACAGCTGCCCCAGAACCTGGACGTATCTGGCCCCCGGGCCCCAGCATTGCCCCCAAGCAGCCCACGAGTTCCCCTCGGGCAGCAGAGCTCAGAGGCCCGAGTCATCCGCGTGAGCATCGACAACAGCCATGGGAACCTGTACCGGAGCATCCTGGTGAGGGACTGGGCTGCTAGGGAACCCCCGCCCTCGGGACCGGATGTACCTCACCGCCTGCCACCCTTCCAGCTCACCAGCCAGGACAAAGCCCCCGGTGTGATCCAGCGGGCCCTGGAGAAGCACCACATGGTCCAGCCCCAGGGCTGTGCCTACCAGCTCTTCCAGGTCCTCCCTGGGGACAGGGGTGAGCAGAGATGGCTTGGCCCCAGTCTGGGGGGACAGCAGGGAGGGCGCAGTCTGACCAGGTCAAGGAAGCGCCCAGTGTGACCTGGGCTAAGGCCTGGGACGTGGCTCCCGCACAGACTTCTGGGTAAGGGGGCAGAGCATAAGGTAAGAATGTGGGGTCACCTGCTTGTCCTCACTATGTAGTTCACTGTGAGGACAAGGGGGCACCAAAGGGCATCTTCCTGGGGTTTATGGAATGGTAAGAAAATGAGAAAAGAAGCAGGTGTAGTGGCGGATATCTGTGATCCCAGCACCTGGGAGGCTGAGGCAGGAGAGGCCAGCCTGGGCTACATAGTGAGTTCGAGTGGCTTATGTATGTTGTTCAGAGTTGATGTGAAAGCCCAGAGGCTGTGAAGGTGGGAAGTTATCCAAGTTAGTGAGGTCTGCTGGGGGTGGTCTGGAGGAGAGTGGGACGCATCAGCAGTCAACGGGCTCAGTTTGCTGTGTGATGGGAATGGCGAGAGGTCGTCCAGGTCTAGGGGGGCACCGGAAGTTGTACGGACTTCCGCCGGAAGTTGTTCCTGTCGGCTGGCACCAGAGCGTGAAGTCTGGCTCTGCAGTAGCTGGAGGGACCCCAGGCCTTTCAGGGCGGAGGGTGCACGGTAGAAGGTTGCCTGGGCACTTGTTGTGCGGGCCTAACCACCACGGTCTCCGCTTCTGACCAGAGCTCCTGATTCCGGACAACGCCAACGTCTTCTACGCAATGAGTCCGGCTGCCCCCGGAGACTTTGTGCTACGGAGGAAGGAGGGAGCTCGGCCTGTGGCCTCTGTCTCCCCAGCCTGAGTGAGCCCTCTCCTGCCTCCAGCCCAGAGCCCCATGGCTTCTGTCACCATGGGAGGGGGGTTAGGGACGCCATTGTATGCTGTGCTGTGTGACCCCCATTGGACGCCCTCTTTCTGTTGTCCTGGGCGCAGGATCTCCCTTTCAGAGACATTAGCCCCTCGTTGTGGCTGCCACAACAAAGATGAAAAGCAGACTAAGAGCCCTAGGAAAGGGATTGAACCCGGAGATTTAGCTCAGTGGCGCCTTGCTCGCCTGAGAAGCACAAGGTCCTTAGTTTGATTCCTGGTACAGAAAGAGATTGAAGCCTGGTACAGTGGTGTGCTCCTGCAATCCCAGCACTCAGGAGGCTGAGGCAGGAGAATCCCATAGAATTCAAGGTCTACATAAGAAGACCCTGTCTCAAAAAAACAAAACAGAAAAGGACTGAATGAATCATGATGGATACCAGAAGACCTCATCATACGCACAGGGGCCAGGATTTCCTCCCTGCCAAGTTTCGGGGGCGGGTGATTGTTTTTTGTCTGCCATGCATATAGGAGGAAATTGAAAATTGGGTCAGAGACAAATAACTCCAGCACTTAGGAATCAGGACAGGAAGGAGGAAAAGAGTTGATCTGGGATGAAGCAACGGGCTCAAGCCTCTGTATGTAAGTGCACCAAGTCCCCGCAGTGAGTGAATTAATTAGGCATCATGAACATACCGATTTTAAAAAGGGGGAAAGTGGAGAAACTAGAGCCAAGATGACCAGGGCGGTGACTGTAAAGACATCAATGACACACGGCCATGTATGGCTCCAAGCTGAGCTGGGCGTGGACGGGGGCCTTTATAGCTCCCTGTATTTAGGGCTCTTTGTTTCCAGTGGTCAAAGCCCCATTCCAACAGGCACATGCCCAAAAGGCTCCCATAATTGAAAAGTACAAGGGCCAGGGATTTAGCTCAGTGGTTCCAACGCCTGCCTCACAAGTGCAAGGACCCGAGTTTGATCACCGGTACCAAAGAAGAAAAGAAAATTACAATGGATCCAGCAGCAGGTGCCATTGGATCTGAGGACCCTGAGGATCTGAGCAGGGGTTTTGTGGCTGTCTCTTGGCTCTGAGTTGCTCGGAGACTGGAACTGTCTATTGTCCTCCTCAAATCCAGTCACCTCCTCTGTAATGGAGTCACTAACTTTTCACTCACCACTCAAAGTGAAAGCCCCGTTTCCTACCTGCTGTGCACCAAGACTGAGTGTTGGCCAGCAAGATATCCAAGGAGGAAAGAAATGCCAGGAAGAAAGGGAAGAGCTGTGTATCTTTCACTTCGTCCACCTTTCTTTATGGCTGCTTGGAATGAAAATGAAGATGAGGAAAATATCGTCTTGGGTTGGGTGGTTTCTCATCCTCTGACTGACTGAGCAGCAAGCTGGAAGGAACCTGGGGCTCTGAAACCATGGAGCTACCATATTGACTTCCTGGAGTGTTACCCAAGGGAGAAATAAATTCCATCTCACTGAAGCCACTATTATTTGGTCCTCTGTGACAGTAGCATAATGAACTTTGAGAAAGGATCTTGCCCTCAAACTTGAGATCCTCCTGCCTCAGCCTCCAGAGTGCTGGGATTAACAGACTTGTGCCACCACACATAGTTTAAAACAAAGTTTTAATTTATATGCTCCCCCTCCCAAATTTATATGACCCCCACTTCACAGGGCCGTAATGCGAGACTTACATCCCAGTACCTCCACCCTCTCTTACAGAGCCCCTCCTCCTCATCTCCCCAAGATTCCCATTGGACAAGCTGGGATCATGTGTCCATTCTGCAACCAATCATTGTGTTTGAAAGAATGTAAAATGCAGATTGGGGCCCCAAGCTCACCCCTTGGCTGGTAAATTTCACACAGGGGGTGGGGTTATCACAGAGCATGTTCCCTTTGGATGAGTTTGGGTCAGGTGTTCATTCCCCGAACCAGTCATTTTGTTGGAGGAATTCATATGCATATTGAGGCCCCATGCTTTCCCTCGGTGAAGAAACTCCAAGTCACAGAGGGGTAGACTCTGGGAAGGAAGTTAAATGAAGGTGCCAACCAGGTGTGGTAGTGCATGCTTGTAATCCCAGCACTCAGGTGGCTGAGGCAGGAGGATGGCCTCAAGTTGGAGGCAACGCACACAATACATATATATAATGGGATATGCTCAGGCACTTCTGGTGCAGAAGAGACAGAAGAATGAAAGCCGTGTATATCAAGACCACTTGGGTGTAACTGCATTCTGTTAGAACTAGCCTAAGCAAGCTCAGTAATTGCATTGTCACAGAGCACTTGCTGTGTGCCAGTTTTATTCTCAGAATTTGACTTTATCTTCCGCCTCCCCACCTCCCTGCCTGGATCGAACCCAGGAAGCACTGAGCTACAACCCCAGCCCCCCGTTTTTTTTTCCACTTTGAGACAAGGTCTTGCTAAGTTGCCCAGGCTGGGCTTTAACGTGTGATCCTCCTGCTGTAGCCTCCTCAGCATCCAGGATGACAAGTGTGCCCTGCTGTGGTTGTCTTAATCTGTCTCTTTTAGCTTTCATTGTAACCCTGTGGGGCGAATACTATTGTTATTCCTGTTTTTCTCATGAAGCGCTGAGACCTATTGAGGCTAAATTCTTGGTTATCCAAGTTGTGGCTGGTTTTCAAACTTGGTTTGTTTAACTCTAGAACGCATGCATTAGCCATGAGGCTAAATTTGACTGTGTCTGTTTCTGTATCTCAATGCCAATTTCCTGAGGAAGAAATTCTCATTGACTTTTATTATTATTACATGTTATTTGTTGTTGTTTTGCGGTACCAGGGATCGAACACAGGACCGTGCCCTTGCGAGGCAGGTACCGTGCCACTGAGCTAAATCACTGGCCCAACCTCTGTTTATCATTTATTTTTGCTGTTTTTTGAGACAGGGTCTAGCTATATAACCCATGCTGGCCTCGAACTTGCCGTGATCCTCCTGCCTCAGCCTTTGGAGTGCTGGGATTACAAGCATACATGACCACACTTGATGCTGAAATTTTTTTAAAAAGGGATTGGAGCTGTAGCTCACTGGGCAGGACTTGAGTTCAATACCACACCCTCAAGAAAAAAATCAGGTGACACAAAGCACTTTGACTGTGAAAAAAGAAAAATGATGCTAGGGTGTGGTGATGAACACCTATAATCTCTGGGCTCAGGAGGTTTAGGCAGAATGACCGAGCATTCTGGCTACATAGTGAGTTCAAGGCCGGTCTGAACTGTATAGTAAGACTCTGTCTCAAAAAACAAAGTCTGAGGTTGGGCAGGGCACAGTGGCAGATACCTGTAATCTCAGTCCGCGGGAAGCTGAGGCATTGGGATCCTCCTGAGTCTGAGACGACCAGCCTGGGCTACACAGTCAATTCAAGGCCAGCTTGGTTCCATCCCAGGTACTGGGGGAAATAAAAGGCCAGTCTGAACCATATAATGCAGTGGTGGTGAACCTATGACAGGTGGTGCAGGGAGCTATCTGTGTCATTGAAAGCTCTAAAAATTTCACCATCACTGATATAGTGAGACCCTGTCTCAAAAAAAAAAAAAAAAAAAAGAAGCCCTGGGATAGGAGTTCATTGGCTCCTTTGGGTCACATGTATATCACGGACCAATCACTGTGTGCAAGGGAATGCTGTTCTCTGATTGGCTAGTCTGTGGCATGTGAGAGAACAGAGTAACCAACCACTAAGGTAGGTGTGTACACCAGTTTAAGAAGCTCTGCACCAAAGAGTCACTTTTAATTTTTCTTTCTTTCTTTGTGTTTTGAGACAGAGTCTCACTGTATAGTCCAGGCTGGTCTTGGTCTTGTGGTGATCCTCCTGCCTTAGCCTCTACAGGGCTGGGATTACAGGCTTGCCGCACTGTGTGCCGCTAATTTTTATCTTTAATTCTGGGGATTGAACCCAGGACCTTCACACTGAGTTACACCTCCAGACCTTTATCGTTTGTCTTCAGACAAGAGTTTTGCTAAATTGCTCAGGCAGGATTTGATCTTCTTGCCTCAGCCTCCTAGAGCGCTGGCATTACAGGGCTGCACCACCATGCTCAGCTTTATGGTTTCTTTTATAATTGCCTCCTGGATTAGTAAAAGAACTGAACACTTCTTGTAAAACAAAGCACCAACGGCAGGGTGTGGTGGCTTGTGCCTGTTGTTCAACCTACTCCAACAGCCTGGGTCAAGAGCCTGAGTCCACAAGTTCAAGGCCAGCGTGGGCAGCATAGTGAGTCCCTACCTGAAACATTATGAAATGAAACACCAAACATATAAAAGTGTAGTCAGGAGCCGGGTAAGGTGGTGCACACCTGTAATCTTAACGCTCAGGAAGCTGAGGCAGGAGGATCACAGTTAGTTTAAGGCCAGCCTGGGCTACACAGTGAGACCCTGTCTCAAAAAACAAAACAAAACAGTAGGCAGTAATTATTTCAAAACTTCATAAAGGAAACCACAATCCAAGATACTGTATGTGTAATTTTACAAATAAGGGACTGGGGGGGGCTGGGGACATAGCTCAGTGGTGTCACGCCTGCCTGGCAAGTGTGAAGTCTTAAATCGGATTCCTGGTATCAAAAAAAAACCAAAATAAAAAACAAAGGACTATGAGATGTGATCAAAATATATGGTGACTTTAAAAATTTGTGATAGTACAATACACATTGCCATTAACCTCCCACCAAATTCTACAATACTTCCCCTCACCTTGAACACAGTTACCGCACTGTTCCTGGCAGTGTGAGTCTCTCACTGTAATAAGTCATTTCTTTTTGTTTTGTTTTGGTTCTTTGTTTTTTTTGAGACAGGGTCTCACTTTGTAGTTGAGACTGACCCGGAACTCACTGTGTAGCCCAGGCTGGTCTCGAACTCACAGTGATCCTCCTGCCTCAGCCTCCCGAGTGCTGGGCTGACAGGCGTGCGCCACCATGCGCGGCAAGCCATTTCTTTTTAAATTTCAGCATTTGCCCTATTTTTCCATCAACCGTTGTACACTTCCCGGTAGTTTGGCTGTGCACTGAGCAAAAACAGTCAACAACTGTTTCGTGACTTCGAAACAGTCATGATTATTATTTTATTTCCTGACTGGGAAGAGATGCTGATTAGCAGGATATTATCAGTAGTTTGAATTTTTTAAATGCTTGCTATGCACCGGGCTAGATCTTACAGATGAGAAGACTGAAACTCTGATAAGGGCGGGCACACGTCCAGGGTCATAGAGCAAAAAAAAAAAAAAAA